TGCCTCTATACGATACCCATCTAATTTCACAATTCCTGTTACATATCGTTTGTGAGATATGATACACTGAACCAGGAAACTACAGTCACTTTGTATACTTACTAATAATGATTAGACTGTAGAGGTTTACTTTTCCAGAAATACAAACTAAGCATCGACTTAACTCTGCTCATCAACTAAAGTCTTCCCGTGTCTTTCAACTTATAACTTAGGCTTAACGTTTTACAGTTTGAAAATGAAAAAAAAGGCAATAAATTATTTTTCTTATCATCTTTTATTTTATGAAATTCTGTGTTATTATCTTGGTAGGCCCTCATGAATACATTCCACTGCTCGGGAACTGAGGAACACCAGAATTATTTTGTTCCTTCACTATTACACATGGTCACAAGAGAAACATACCAGTCAGCAGAGTCTACCGAGGAAAAGTCCATAAGTCTTGAAATCAACCTCCACGGCTCTGTCATTCTCCAGAAACTATTGAATTTTCAAAAACCAATTAAAGTTTGTATCTTTTAGTTTTACTTTATCCCTACATTTAATCTGTAGATTAAAGAAAATGATCTCAATGTTAAGAAGAAACGTCTGTAGAGTAGAGTGATGTTTTATAAAGCTGTCATATGTATATACAACCAGTTTTCACTAAACAGCAGAATGAAGTCATCAGTGTACTTCAGTAATTACACCAATATCAGATAATCTTCAGAAATTTGTTAATTTGCTGAACTTCATAATGCAACCTTCTATAGAAACGTTTTGTATTACTTGACATCCGTGCTTTTTAACTTTTGTATAATTTTCAGTCATAAATCCTACAGTAATGTAATTTGGGAAAATGTATGCCTATACGTTGGGGTTGCATTTACCTGGTCAATATATTTTCACGATGATCTCTGCTATTCTGGGTACAGTCGTTCGTTCAGTTAAATATTTACGTCTCCGAGCGTGGAAATGTTGTTTACAAGAATGATTGGTAAACGACATTTCCAATATGAACTTGATAATCATTAATTTAGACAACTCTATATGTTGTGATACATTCTACTAATACAATATATTTAAAATATGATCATTTGATAGAAAGTGGTAAACACCTTTTATTAATATATAATATAGGTTTGTTTTAGAAGTAAAAAACTTGAGTGATAAAGTTATGTATTGTTACAATGTAAAAATTAACTATTTTATTGTTATAATGTTAGTTTTAACAATGTAAAAATTAAACTATTGTTATAATGTTAGTTTTCAACAATGTAAAAATTAAACTATTGTTATAATGTTAGTTTTCAACAATGTAAAAATTAAACTATTGTTATAATGTTAGTTTTCAACAATGTAAAAATTAAAGTATTTTATTGTTAT